ATGTTTACCCAAGACCCAAGTTTTCTCACAATGCTTATTTGCATGTTAAAGGCACTGAGGAGTCTCAGAATGTGTCAAACCCGAAGTCTCCCAAGCCTATCCGGGCCTCCTTTTTCCCATGTGCTTTGCTTCCAAACAGGCTGAGTTCAAATATAAGCTCTTGGCTTCAGGGCCATTGAACTCTGAGTTAATCTTTCACTCCCCTAACCTCATCTCCAAATGGAGAGAGTAATAACACCTCACAGGGTGAGAATTAGATCAGATAATGTTTGTAAAGTGCCGAAAACCATTCCCTCAATTAATGCTACTTTCCTGTGTCCTTTTATTTATATTCTTTAAAAACTAACCATCTGTGAACACGAAAGGTGTAAGTTTTAATGAGATTCCTTGTGGCTAGAATGTAAGGTCTCAGTCCACCAAATAGTAGCAACCAGTTTTAGAATATCTGCACTGTCCCAGCATGCAGAGATGCTCAAAGGCAACCACAATAGTTAGCATTTCACAGCACATTAGAGTGCATTATAGTATCCATATCCAATAGGCCTTGGAGAGCTTTTTCTAGAGGAGACATATTCTTGGGCTCAAAAGTTCTATTGAAAGTGTTGCATCGCCCTCATTAGCAGTAACAAGATCCTTTAAAGTAAATGAAAATGAATGATGCTGACTCTTTTCTTCCAGTGCCTAACTGGTTTTGAGTATATACCTGTGCTAATGACAGAGAAGCATCCAAATATTACAGTTACAATGTGCCTTATGTACACATATGGACACTAAATAGACCTAATATTTCAAACTACAAATAATTGTGAATTTGTTTACCATTTTATTAGTAGTACCTGTGATGCTCTGATTGGGACTATGTCTCCAAATTGGGAAAAACAGTCAAAAATGCATTTTAGATTAGTATTTTGGACACCAGTGTATAGATTACCCAGCAGTTTTGTGTAAGAGTTGCTAAATAAGCTGTTGTTTCCTGCGGGATGGTATATCTGAGTAGTCAGCAAAGCCTTACTGTGTGTCTCTTGCCAGATCTGCTCACTCACCAGATCTGCTGGAAGTTGTGGCTTGCATCCCAGGCTCTGTTTGATACTCAGGCGTCTTGCTAGGAAGGCAGACAGACAGACAGATGTTGTGGTTTGTTGTTTCCTCAGGACTCTGCTTTCCTGATCAGAATGAGTGCAATCTGGGATCCCTGGAGAGACCCTGGGACTTTTGTTATTTCCTGAATTCCAGCAACTGCACCCCCCACCCGGACTCCAGGAAAGATAGAATCAAATGAGAGCAAGTGAGAGATCCCTGTAGCTTTGGCATTTTGCCTGTCAAAAGTCCCTAATCATGAGACAATTATTGGAATGCATTATTTTCAAGTTTCTCGAAACTTCTCGAAGATGCTCTGAGAGATCCTGAATTTGCTAAGCTTCATATAAGGTCAAAACTCTTGGAAGTGATCTTTAAAACCAGCTACCCCTTCCTTTCTGCCTTTTTCTTTCACTTTTTAATAGAGCACACCATATAATGAATTTCATTATGGCAGTCCCCACCCATATTCTCACTAAAGTGATCTGAACTGAATATTTGAATGTAAATGTAGGCACACCTTGGTTTTTTGTCTTCTGGACAACCTAGAGTGGCTCAGAGTTCTGTTGTCCATGCCCGAGTTGTAGGAGGCCTGTCTTGAGCATGTTTCCTATGCATGTGCAAATACTTTTACTCATAGAACACACTGAGAATATTTTGTGCATTCTTTCTGGTACCTTAATGTTCAGTAACAAAGATGGGATGGTGACAAGGTGCTGTGAAAAATCCATCTCCACAATACTCAGAGCTATCAGTTCACCCAGTGGGTCTTTGTTTGTTGCATTTTGGGGCAGACCCTGCTCTAGAGTTGGTTTTATTCTTTGCATAAGAAGAAGCATTAGAACTCTTAGGGCCTGGAGAAGAGGCTTATATTTGCATCTTATCTCATCAGCAGCCTTTATTTTCCTGTAGATGATCACTCAGCAGTTGTTTGGATAGAAGTGAGTTGGAAAGTGAGTGAGTGAGTGAAAGAAAAGAGGGAAGTTGGCTAGCCCTCTGACTTGCACCTGTTATGGGTCCCTAATACCGTCTGCATGCAAACTCTTAATTTAGATGTCAATTTTACTGATATTCTTGACAGGACAATTTTAGAAAACACTTCAGATGAGAGTCTGTAATAGTTTCTTTCCTGGTGGGCACTTACTGTTGTCTCTCTAGGTAATTTCATCTTTAAGTCTGGAACAAAGGTGTTCGATAGTGTAGTCCACTGACGTTGAGAAACAGGAGTTAGGACTGATCTAGTTTCGATTCAATGGAAATGTTGTGGGTGTTGAAATAGATCTTTAAAAGGTATTTATTACTGTTTATTTATTTTGTGTGTGTGTGTGTGTGTGTGTGTGTGTGTGTGTGTGTGTGTGAGTGTATGTGCAGGACAGGTATAGAGCAACCTGTGGAGGTCACCAGAGGGCATCAGATCCCCTAGAAGTTGAATTACAGACAGTTGTCAGCTCATCGTGGTGCTAGGAACAGAACCAGGGTCTTTCAAATCAGTAAACACTCTTTACCACTGATTCACCTCTCCAGCCCTCCCAGTGAAATTGATCTTGAGAGATCTCAATAAAATTGTGAAGACAGGGAGATGCACTGGGGAAGCAGTGTGAAAGGAATTCTTGCACAGGGTCTGCTTTTTCAGACTGGGTGTTTAATGGCACAGTCTGTATTTAGCATGCACGAGGCTCTCCCACACGGAACAGGATTGCAGACACACACACACTTGCATGGGTGCACACACCTAAAATAAATGAAAATAAAAGGATATATCCCGCAGGGTGTTGTTGGTGCATGCCTTTAATCCCAGCACTCAGGAGGCAGAGGCAAGTTCGAGGCCAGCCTGGTCTCCAGAGCGAGTGTCAGGAAACAAAAACAAAACAAAACAACAACAACAACAACAACAACAAAAGCAACAAAAAAGAAAGGATATATCCCTCACAAGATTGAACTTCAAAATCTTTATTTAAAGTTCACTTAAATAACTTGGAGATTTGTGGATTTTCTTTTTCTCCTGCTCTCCATCACACTATGCTTATTTATTTCCTATTCCTAAGTTATCTTATCTTAAAAGGACATTTTATTCCAAGAAAAAGTAATTTTCTGTTCTTCACTAAATATCTCTTCACAGATACCAAATCAATGTATGTCTCTTACCATTTACTGCACGTTCCTGGTTTTATTGCTGAAAAGATTCTGGCTGGACTCTTTGAATTCTCATCACAGCTTGTTTACTGAGTTTCCAGTCAGCTTTCTCAGGCTAAAATTGTCTTTCACTTTTCAAGGCAGGGTGCTGTTAACTGGGTTTCTTCCCACAGACAGTTGCTCTGAGTTCATAGGTCATGACCAAAATCAGCACACAGTCTTCTTTTAAACTTGTACTTTACTTAGCTAATGCATGCACTCACTTCAGGGAAAACTAGAAAAGTACAACAGTACACACACACACACACACACACACACACACACACACACACCACACACACACACACACGATGGATCAAATCCTCTTCACCTGATCTATCATATGCTACCTGCCACAGGCCAAGGTGCTAAGTATTCAGCTTAGAGTCATATATCATAACTTTGAAGAAAGTAACGTTAATAAAAACAATAGCTGTAAATGACCAACACCTACCGTTTATGTTTACGGAGCTTTCAGCATACATTACATGGTTTTCGGTGTGTCATATGTAAAAAAAAAAAAAAAAAAAAAAAAAAAAAAAAAAAAAAAAAAGGAAAACATCGTCTGTCAACTATCCCAGGCATACTTTACACTGGGCATAGTTGGCCTAATCATGAGGTAGCCTCACAGTCCCCATTTTTTTTTTAGAAAAGAGAATAAAGTTGGTATGGTCACAGGAATAATAGCTAACGAGTACCTGATACCTTGGGATTTAGCAGGCCATCATTGCAAAGTTTAGATTATATTTAGCCTTCCCCAATTTGTTCTTCTTCTTTAACTGTTAACTCTCTGCTATGTAGAAGGTACCAAGTGGAAGAGACTCCTGTAAACATAATGAAGGTCCAAGACCTAACCCCTCGCTCCTAGAATTTAACCTTTCTATGGAACCCTCAGCAAATTCAAGGAAAAGAGAGTATCCATAGACTGATATTGTCTAGATATTGTCCATTCGCTCTGTCCTAAAGCCTCTTTGCTGAAAGATGAAACCAGTTTTTTGTTTGTTTATTTATTTAATGAGAATGGAGAGGGGTAAAGTTATTTGGAAGTTTACTGCAGTCCCCTGGAGCGGTAAAGAAGAGGTTAAGAGGGACCTGGAGGATTTTTGAAGGCTTTGGTTTGGGAGGTTCCATTTGGAAAAAAGGTGCAGGGGAGACTCTGATGGCAGGAGACCCAAGACAAGTTCTCCTTCACTTAGATTTCTGCTCCTGAGTAGTCGTAATCTCACCTGAGGGCGCAGTTGGGCACTCTGGGCATGTGGATGGAAATATTAACAAGCAGAACTTGTCTGAGCAGCGCCAGTGAGGACATGGCAGGGATCGCGCGTCCCCTTTAAAGGTTCCGGAGCCGGGCTGGAAAGGGAGGAAACTCGGGGCTGGGACTGTGGGGGAAAACCACAACCTGGGGAGCCGAGAGGAGGCAGCGTGAGAGCAGAAACTTCAGACGCTGCAGCCCCGGGCGGAGGGGGGGGGAGCCTCGGCAGCAGACAGCATCCTCCTCCTCCTCCTCCTGCTCGCGTCTCTTCACCAACTCTCGGCCGCCCGGAGGAGCTGCCCCTCCGAAGCTTCCAGGAGCACGGGGGTGAGAGCAGCCACCCCGGGAAGTTTGGACTGCAGCTTGCTTTGGAGGTGCGTTCGGCGCGCCCCTGTGGAAACAGGACCCGGAGCGATGCCGAGTGCAGCGCCGGGTTGGGGGCGCCCGGAAGGCGCGCTTGCATCCGCGGTCCTGGTGCGGTCCCCCGTGCTCTCTGCATCCCGCGAGTGATGGGAACAAGGGCCCGCCCAGGCAGCCTCTGTCGCCGTACCGCCCCTTCGCTCCCTCCTGGCGCACGGAGTCACCCAGGCGCACCCCGTGAACCTCGAGACTGCCCTCTCCAGCTGCTGCTGCTGCTACCTTGACTGCAATCACCGCCAGAGGGGGGTGGCCGGCTACGGACTGGCTCTCCTCTAGACGAAGGAGCACTTTTTGGGGGGCACCTCTTCATCTGCTCTCACACCCCAACTTTGCAATCGCCGCTTAGCGGCGCCCGGGCACACGCTGAGGAGGCGCACGCCGGGAGGCTCAGCAAGACTGTGGAGGCAGGAAACCGCTCCTCCGTTTCGGCTCTTTGTTGTTCCCCTTGGATGATCCTTGGAAGTGGCTGAGCCTCCTCGGAAACCCGGGGGCCAGAGAAGACAAACCTTGGAATTTTTCTTTGCAAAGGGCTCCGAGGGATTGACAAGCCTCCGGAGGGGTCGACGAGAAACTGCCCTGCAAACTCTTGGCGGATTGACTCACGTTGCTTATATTAAGCCTTTGTGTGTGGGGTGTATGGTGTGTGGCTTCCATAAATTTGGAGATCCCCGCTTCTGCTCCCTTCTCTTGGCATGAGACTGTATGCAGGACCCACCCGAGGACAATGATCGCGGAGCCTGCTCACTTTTACCTCTTTGGATTACTATGTCTCTGTTCAGGTAACCCGCGCCCTCTTTCTTCAGCCCTGATCCCCTTTGCTTGTCCTCACTGCACTTTTCATAATCGAACCCTGAACCCTGAACTGACTCTTGGCGACCTCTGCCTTCTAAGGCCAGAGGGGCCCGACCCTTCCAGAACTTCTCCAGGAAAAGGTTTTTCTTTTCCCATTTGAGGTTGTCCCTCTGGCCTATCATCCCAAACTCCCCTGAAACCACCCCAAACCTCCTAGTAGCTTTCACCAAGTTCAGGGCACGCCCAGCTTACTCTGGGCAAACGCCTGTCTAAGCTTTTTGGTGGGAGGAGGCTGCGGGTTGTCCCCGAATTTTGGTCCCCGGGATGAGGCCAAATGAGTATCATCCATCTGAGGAATCCTAAGGGGTGCTGGAGTGGAGGGGGGAGTTGTGGGGGGCAGAGGATCCCCTCTTCCCAGGAATCCAGAATCTGTTCCTCCAATCCACTCCAGCTCAGGGGGTTGTTAGAAGTTGTTTTATGTAAACCAAAGTCTGTAATTAAGTTCGATTCCGAAGAAACTTGAGGAAATAACTCGTTCTCATGGTAGGATCTAAACTAGCCACTGCCTGGCTAGGCTTAGAAGGGAAACGGGTGGTTGCAAGTGTCTGAAAGGGAACAGTTAAGTTGCCTGGATGTTCTTGTTGGCCAGACAGAACAGAAGGTTGCCTTAGGATGAATTAAATAGTTCTGCAACTCCATATGAAGTACTGGAAAGACGAGGCTTAAGATACCTTCTGTCCTAAGAGAAAGCACAGTGTGGGGGGCTTGCAAACAGTTTTCCTGCACGCCTTAAGAATCTTCAACTATGGATGACTGAAGCATGCACTCAACTTTTGTTTCTTCCCTTTTGGTAAATTATGATTTCAGTCATGGATCCAGTTTCAGGCCTACACACACACACACACACACACACACACACACACACACACACACACACACACACACCAACCTTATAGTCACATACTGAGTGAGCTTCAAGTTGCATCAGGGCCTGAATGTAGAGTCACATAATTTGCATAATTATGAAATAATGTTGAGGCTAGTTTGAACATTTGTGGTCTATGGTGATTCTTTAAGTTTAGATCAAAGGTTCCCCTTAAGCTAAGAGGCTACAAAAAGGAAGGGAAAAAAAAAGGAAAACCCACAAGAAGTAAAAGATAGTAAATAAATGCCTAAAAGAATGTAAGCTCCTGAGATATTTCCTTAGCTGAAAGTTGAAAGGCACATTTGAACTAAGCTAAATAGAAAACATGCTAAGTTGTTGCTGCTTTGAAGAAAACAAAAATTGAAATTTCAGCCTTGACTATCTCATCTATGTCACAGTGGATGGATGAGAAGATTAAACCAACTCTTTGGGGGCCCTTCTCCCCCCACTTCCAACTTCCCCTTTCTGTATGGCAGCCTTTATTCTCAGTTTGCATATCTAGATGATTGAATAGTCCCCCACTCCCCATTCTGAGCCATGGATGCAAATCCAAAATATTAAGATCTGATCTATCTGGCTTTTGAATCCCCCCCCCCATCTCCCCTTGGTTTAATTTACAGCCTCAGATACCTTTGAGTTTTTTTTTTTTGTTGTTGATTCACCTTCTCTGCTAAAGTTTGTTCACGTGTGTAAAGGAAGGTGTCAGTGTGATGAATGACTGGGGGGAAGATTACTGAGATAGGGGGATTAATGGTCATTAGTCACTGTTGGAGCTGAGTTTGTGTATGTTGGGACATTTTATCATGGCTGTAGATTAAAGATAGGGTCACACTAATAGGGTATCCCTGAAAGCTTGTCCTGTCAGCCATCAAATTCTGTCCTCATATGTGTGTGGGGAGGTGGAGTCTTCGCTCATGTTTAATAATTTGAACAGGACTCAATATCTGAGATCCCAATTTGAATACATGTGGGGCATGTTTAGACTCTTAACGCTAACGTGAGTTCTAGGCTTCATCTTCATTTAATTTGTTTGTGAGCCATTGACTTTGTAGCCCTTAGGTTTCCCTCTAGTGTTGCTTGTCTACTTTGCCAGGTTCCAGACCAGAAAGTGGCTTTGTTCCTCCTCACTCACATTTTACCTGAAGCTTTTTATTACTTTGCTTTAACTTATACTCATAGTCTGAACTTGGGAGGCCAAACCACTGGACTCCTGGGGTGATTTCATGACCCTAGGCTGTTGTAAAGCACTGTGATTGATTTAAAACACACACACACACACACACACACACACACACACACACACCTTTGGCAGGGTTAGGTAAGTAACTAGTAAGTTGGATGTACCCAACACACCTGGTCAGGGAATGAATGAAGTTCTTGAAAGATTGTGTTTCATGTTTTGCCTCCAGCCTGAGATCACAGTCTAGCACTTGTTAATGGAGTGTATTTCAGAGAAATGTGGTGAGCTTAAATAAATCAAAGTGTACTGAGGGGATAAGGCGCCTTCGACAAGATTTAACCTGTAAAAGCATCTATTGATTGTCAGTTCTTTTTTTCTCTCCTTTTTTGTTTTTAATACTGGCTGCCAATTTAACAAAGTCTACAGTTCTCTTCAAAGAGACTATCAACTCTATTTGGGTGTGTTGATGGCATATTGAGCATTAAGTTTGAGAGTGTTTGCTTTTATAGCCTTAAAAAGAACTTAATGCTGTAAAAATACAGATTCTGTGAAGCAAGAATTTGGGTGTAAAGTGGGCCCTTCTTTGGCAATTCATATTAAAAGGTGAATTTCATCTAATTAGTTGGTTTACCTGTGTTCTTGCCTATGGATACATATTTTTTTGAGTAAGGTTAGGACCATTGGGGACCATTGTTCTGAAAACAGAACAAAACAAAACAGTGAGGTGTCTGTCCCTGAACGGAGTGCACATGTTCTGTCATAACATCTACAAGCCCTTGGCTTAGTAACTTGCTTTCAAGTGAAGAAATGATTGAACTTTTATCAAACTTAGGGTGAGATCTGAATTTCAAATGCAGTGTAAATTGCCAGGTGCCCTTTTTCTTCTCTGGGGAGGCATGTTTCTCTACACAGCTTTGGTAAGTTTCATTCCATGGGACAGTGTCTCCCCTCTCTTTGTATCTCCCCTCTAGCTCTTCATTCTTTTTTTCTCCCTGTCCCTCCCCACTTGAGGCTTGGTTACTTTAACGCACGTTGAATAATTTTAAATTTTGGAAATGTACCATTATTTAGTGAGCGCGCACATGTGTGCGTGTGTCTGTGTGTGTGTGTGTGTGTGTGTGTGTGTCTGTCTGTCTGTCTGTCTGTCTATCTGTCTGTCTGTCGATGCTCACGGGTCATGGTGTGCACGTGGAAGTAAGAGGGCTACTTTCTGGAGTTGGCTCTCCCTTCTACCCTTTTGGTGCCCTGTCTCTTGGCTCTGCTGTGTTGTGCACTGTGCGCTAACTGGCTACATGCCTCTGGGAGAGCCCCATCTCTGCTTCCCAGTTCACCACAGGAGTTCTAGGATTACAGATGAGCTAGCAAATCCCACCTTTGTACAAGGGTCCTGAGATCATACTCATATTGGCATATTGTTTTATTTGCTGGACTGGCTTGCTGACCCGTGTATTATTATTGTTAAATTTTTTTTAAACATACAGTCTGGCTTGATTTTAGATATAAATACCTAAATTCTTGATGTCTTTAAAAATGTCTCTATCCCTGATAATGGGTCCTCTGACATCTAAAGTTTGTGGTTGAGCTGCTGTAAAAGCCAATGTTTAGACCTGAAGACATTTTTTCTTGAGTTTTACTATGACACATGAAATACTCTTCTGTCAAAGTGGTATAAAACACTCCATTTCAACTAACTTTGACAATTGTTTACTTCTTTTTTATATCGAGTAGATTTTAGCTATAACAATGTTTATAATGGAAAAATAGCTGGGTTCCAGGAGTGCAATTGGAAGGAAACTTAGGAAAACATTATTTAATGAAGGACCTAAGTGTTTGAGGCCTCATCTGGTACCTTCTGTGTTCAGAAAAGATGCTAAGGCAGGCTGGAGAGATGATGCTGAAGTTAAGAGTACTGGCTGCTCTTCCAGAGGACTCAGGTTCAATTCCCAGCACCCACAGGAGATCTGGTGCCCTCCTCTGGCCTGCAGGCATACATGTAGGCAGAACACTGTATACTAAATGAGTAAATTAAAAAAAAAAAAAGATGCTAAGGCAAGATTTATGCTAATTTTGAAAATTTGGTTTTGTATGTGAGTGGGGTAGATGCAGATATGTGTGAGTGTTTCTGACTTTGTGCACAGGGTGGCCAGCTGGGAAATAAAGGGTCCTATACTATCCTGTTAGGCCTTATTCCTTTGAGACAGTTCTTTCACTGAACTTGGAGCAAGGCTGGCAGGCAACAAATCTCAGTAATCACTGTCTAGGCCACCTGGAGCACTGGGGTTAGAGGTTCTGCCTTATATCTATTCGGGTTCTGAGAGTTTGAATTTGGGTCCTCACACTTTCATAGCAAAAGCATGCTGAACCATCTTTCTAGCCCTTAATTTCTTAAAAAAAAAAAAAAAAAGTCCAGTTGTTAACACAGAATTGTAAACTGCCCTGAAAACTGGATTTTGTTTTTAAAGTTAATCAATGTTAGGCCTAAGGTAATCTATATAATGTGTAAACTGAGAAAAGGTAAAGGGAAAAGAAAATAGAAATCTAAGCTAAGAGAAATGCAGTAGAGGATGAGATCTGTAATTATAAGGTGTTGGTTGGTTGGCTTGTTTTGTTTGTATGAGACAGGGTTTTATTAAGTAACCCTGGCTAGCTGGAACTCACAGAGGTCTGCCTACTTCTGTGTCTCAAACACCAGGATTAAGGCCTAGCCCTTAATCTAGTTAAAATATATGGAGAAAATGTGAGGTGGGGATGTAGCTTAGTGGTAGGGTGCTTGCCTATCTTATGCAAATCCCTGGGTCTGATCCCTAGCACCATGCAATAATTCACACACACACACACACACACACACACACACACACACACACACACACACACACACACAA